TTAAAACTTATTGTAATTAGATCAGATAAGCAAATATTAGTCTGAACATTTAATATATAAGTAAATATTATAGTAATGCTAACAAAGTTATAAATCAAATTAATAATTTTATTTAAAATTCTTGATTAAAAAATATAAATATTATTATTATTATTATAGATTTAACTTTAGTTTATATAATAGCAAAATAATTTAGACTATAAATAATTTTTAATAATTAAATACTAAAATTCTTAAACATTTAGAAATATTTATAAAGATATTATATTTATTTATTATTTTATATATTAAACTAATTTTATATAATAAATATGCTTAAATCTCTTCAAAATTTTTAAAAACTTCTAAAAAAAAACACAACTATCATATCATATTTTAAATCTTTATCTTATTTTATTAAATAATTAAAAAATAAATAAACTTGTACTTATAGCCAATATATTATATTAATCTAACTAGGTAAAACATATTAGAATAGTTATTATTTTTATTATTAATCTATATTAAAATGCAAAAATACATTAAGAGTAAATTATAATTTTTTAAATATTAAATATATGATTATTAAAAATTTATTAATAAATTTTAAATATAATAAAAATAGGCTTTATTAGCAATAAATAATTTTAATAATATTACTATAAATTAAGATAATATAATAAAGGTATAATCAACTTCAAAAATTTTTTTGAGAATTCTTGATGATCTAAATTTTTGAAAAGATTTAAATAATTTAAAAAACTGTTCTTTATTAATATTGTATAACTAAAAAATATTACAAAAAGATAAAGTAAAATTATATAAAATATTACATATATTTAATTATTTTATATAATGTATACTAAACTATTTAGACTCAGCTTTTAAAAGTAAAAGTTGAATTTTTGTCAGAGTGTCCAAAAAATAGGTAATACTTGTAAATGGCTTTGGGTCTAAGTATTTTCCTCCTATGCAAGTACTCTGACAATTCATTAACTTATATATTTATATACTTTTCTATTATTAGTTGAATAAAAATAAAAATAAAAATAATTTTCTTTTGTTGTAATTGAATTTCAAGTCATGTATCCACTAATTTATTATTGGCCTAAATTATTTATAAAAATAATTAATTATAACAATTACGATCTAAATCAAAAAAAAATTTTTTTTTAAAATTAAATTTTACAAATCTTTTTTTTTAATAATGACAACTCTTATTGAAGAAATTAGAAATGAATTAAAAGATGCAAAAAAGAACATAGAGAAGCAAAGGACAAGTTGAAGGAATTCAAAGAAAAGAAGACAGACAGTGATTGAAAGAGTTTGACAAAGAGAATAAGAAGGAAAAAAGAAAATTGGAAAAAAAAAGAAAAGATTGAAGAAGAAGGTGAATGATATGTTGGAACATGCAAATTATTTACAGAAAATATTAACTGACTTTGGCAAAGAGGAAGAAGGTAATGAACAAATTGCAAAATTATTTTTTCATTCATTCTATTTCATTTATTTATTTATTAACCATTCATATATTTTTGACTAATTTTCACTTTGTTTCTTTTTCCTCTTTACTATTGCAGCAAGTAGAGTATAAATTATGTCTTTTTTTTTTTTTTTTTTGCAAACTTAAACTTTATTTTTTATTATATTTTTATCTGTTTGAATGATTGTTACAAATTGTTTATAACTTTAACTAAACTGTGGACTTTCTTTCTGTTGCTTTTACCAATTGATCAATTTTAGGAGAAGATAAGCAACTTTTGATAATCTTTATGCTTTTAAACCTACGCTGTTTTTCTCATTATTATTTTTCTTTACAGAGTTTGAAAAATTGCAAAAGAGAATTAATGAATTAGAACTTCAAGTCATGTCAAAAAAAGCGAGCTCAAAAATGATAGAAAAAACTAGAAGCTTAGAATCCCTTTTCACAATCAAAAGCTTATTATCAAATATTGATCTTATTTATATTTATATATTTTTTAAAACATCTGCTATTATCTGTTATTTTTATTAGAATTAGATAGAGCTTTTCAAATTGAATATAAAGATAATGATAATTTTATAGGTAAACTGAGAAAATAACTAAATGTGATTTTTAATTCAGAAGAATATTTTAACTATCTACCTGTTATTTAGTTATCAGGCTATAGTAAGACTAGGGCTATTTGTTAGCTTACCAAAAATTACCCTCTGATATATATCTGCTTTCATTCAAAAACCTTAACAAGACACTTTTCAGCTACTCCCAAAAGTGATATTATACATCAAGAATTAATAAGTGTGAATAATATTGACGAAGCTTAGGCTATAATAATTTTCTGGCTTTAGTCTATGATTCAAATATTTCATAGCATGTGTTTAGAAAAAAAATCAGTAGATTTGTTATGTTATGAGGTAAAATAATTTTTTTTATTATCATTATTTAATATATGGTATACTTAGCTTTTTTTTGCTTTTTAAACAGGAGCTAGCTAATAAATTATAGAAAAAGTTTATGATTAGAAACAGAAAGATAATCAACAGATTCTACCAACAGGAGCTGAAAAAATAATAATTTTTTTTGATGAAGAATCTTCTCTTCTTTATGATGGTAATTATATATATATGTATACATTTTTAAATAAACTTCAATTCATTCTGAATTAATATTTTAAATACTTTTGCTTTATTAGTTAATAAAAATAAAACAGATCTAGAATTTAAGACAATTCGCAGAACACTTTAAGATCTTTAACAATACTTGTATGATGTATTCACAGATACTAATTCTTTAATTACTGATCTTGTACCTTTAAAGGAATATGATAAATCTGTAAATATGAAGGAAATCATGAAAAAATGTTTCTCATACATTGAAATTTGATCATTAATAATTTATTTTAATCTAAAGGCACGTGGTAAACAAAGTGTATATAAACCATTTTTCTATATAGCAATATATGATTGTTTAAAGTTTGTTGGTTTGCTTTTTATTCATCTTACAAAAAATAATCATATGCTCATTAAGTTTTTATAGGGATTTTGATAAACTTTCACAAAGTGAAATCAGTTCTAGATATGATATTGTATGATTTGGTTAGCCCCTTTGGGATTCTCTTTGGAATACTAAATGAAATGTAGAAGATCAAGTCAGATTCAAAAATATAATTTATCTTGCAAAACAGAAACTTCTTAGTGATGTTATTTTTTGAAAATATCTTAATAAAGCAGACAAGAAAATAGCAGCACTTTGCAGTGATTTCCAGTATTACAATATTATATGTCTTCCTAATTTTATCTATTGTAAGTGCTTTAGTGATATTACATATAGCTACATTGATTGCAATTAGTGAAGATTATAAGTACCATCTTATCATATATCCATCAGAACTTGTTATCTCAGAAGCAGCATTAGAACTGCTTTTAGATAATAATATTAAATTTGAAATATTGAATGAATTGGATAATGCCTTTCAATCTGATAGTATCCTTAATGCTGGTAGTCAAGGAGAATTGGTTATAAGATTGCTATTTTTGAGTGCTTAATATTGTTTTGTCTTCTCAAAAAGGAGGAAAAATCCCAATGATAAGGTATATGTCAAACAATTTTGACAAGAATTATTCTTCAACATTAATTTTTATAATCTTACATTTAGCCTATATAAAGGTATTCTTCTTTACTCATTTTCCAATCTTGGACTTTCTTCAAGAACTTTTTAAAGACTTTTCAAAGGATAAATTTTCACATCTTGAAGGCTTTAAGATTGGATTTACATATTTTATCATACTTGATTACATGCCAAATAAGCAAATTTTTTTGGAAGTTTACAAATGACATACTGCTATAATTTATTAATATAACCAAGAAGGTGTTGATCTAGTGATTCCTATTGTGCATGAAGATGAAAATGATATTGGTACAGTTATAATTCAGGTATTTCAGATATACATCTCTTAGTTTAAGTTTGCATGAGTTAAAAATTATTGTATTTATATGTCAAAAATTATAAAGATAAGTAATTAACAAACATAATGAGGAGAAAAGCTAGATTATTACTCTTACCAGAGATTGTTTTTACTGAGGAACTAGAAAAATATATTGGAAAAAACAACTTAGGATTATATTTGAATATTAGTAAAGAGATATTTACCTGTACTTGTAACATGTTGATTGTTTGAAAAAATTATTAACTGTTAACAAAATTTTCATTTATATTATAGAATAAGCATATATGGAGACACTTTTTATTGAACCACATTCTTATGATAAAAAAATGATTATACTTGATACTGATCAACCTAGAACAATAAGTACTCGTTCTTCTATAATATTTTAACTATCTGAATATAAAATCTATAATTGACTCCTTGTTGATAGACTGGGCTCTTTTAATCTTACTGAAAAATACAAAAAACTATTTCAGAATCTTTTACATTCATGGATTGATTCATTTAATTATACAAAAACATTCAATCATTAACAGATTTTATGTCAGATGACATTTCCTACATATGGCAGGAAAAGATAAAATCTTTTTTTTTTTTGTAATTTAAATTTATATAAACTGCCTATTAATGAATTTACATATTGGATAGATCATTAGATGATATGAATAGGATAAATAAGAAGATGAAAAAAAAACAGAGTAAATGTAAACACTGTTTTTAGCCAAAATGATTATCCTATAGTTTATTTTGACTATTTAACTATTTGTTTATCTTAAATATTATATTTTCTTATTTATTATGTAATCTAATTTATTAATGTTAAATAAAAAGCAAGAGTAGAAGAAAAAGATAACATAATAGAGAATTTAGAAGAAAGAGTAGACATGGAAGTTGAAATAAACTTGAAAGCACTAGACAAATCCAAAGAATATCATGATAGAAATCTTTTCTTATTAGGAATATCAAAGGATACTATTATAATCAATTTGAAATTAAAAATTCAAGAGTTAGAGAAGAACCAAAAAGTAGATAGAGTAAAATAATTATGAAAATTAGAAAACAAATCTAAAACAAAAATTAAGGAAAGAGTTAAAAAACTTAAAGAAAAATTAATACAATCAAAGAAAGTGTTAAAGAAAAGTTCAACACTTATATTTTATAAAACAATAAATAACTATGAAATTAGAATACAGAATTTTAAAAGTAGCAAAGGATAGCATAGAGAGTTGCAATTATTACTCATTATATGTTCATTATGAAAAAGATATTATTTTTACTTCTGCTACCAATGAAATAATGACATATGATAACAATAGAGATTGTACTGATATTGCTTCCATCTGTGATAATTGTAAAAAAGATTTTGAAAACAATAATCTTTCTTATTGTGAACTTTGTGACAGATTATAAAGAAATAGGAGAGGTTATTATTGTAATCTATTGAAAGATGGAAAATTTAGAACACTTTTTGCAGAGGAGGGAACTTTTCAAACTATTAAATCTCATTTAGTAAAGGAAACTAAAAAACTTGAAAGGAAATTAAAAACTATTAAGGAGGAATTGAACATTAAAAGAGAAGAAGTAGCCAAATTTCAGAAAAATAAAGTAAAAAGCAAAAACAGGAGTTATTAGATAAGATAAAAAGTTTAGAAGGAAAAATTAACCACCTAAAAGAAGAAAATAGGAAATTAAAAGATTGAAAAAAGGATCAATTAACTGCTCAAATTAAAGTTAAAGAGACTAAAAAATGATCTTGATTAAAAATAAAAAAGTAGTTTAAAGGATATTCTGATAAATTGAAATTCATTCCAATTATCAAAGAAAATGGTATTTATTTTTCTTTTGAAGATTTTTGCTTTTTATTAAGTAATAATATATCATTATGATGCTTTTTTTTTCCAACACTTATTATTTTTCTTTCTTTATAGTAAATTTCATAAGTAATTCTTTCTTTTTTTAGATAAGTTTTTAATGTCTGAGTATTATTTATTTTAAAAATGTAAGGAGCAATTTTTTCTCCTTGTTTCTTTTTTAGAATACTTCTAATAGTGCTGTAATTTTTGAGTTTCATGGTAGACTTAATATAAATTAACTTCATATTAACTATTTTTATCTAGAAGTAATTTTATATATCATAAATGGGATATTATAAAACTGTTAATTATAATTGCATTAAAGATGATTAAATTTTGATCCCTAAAATTCTTGGTAATACCAATGTTCACTTTATCTAGTTTTATTGCAGTATGTCCTATTTACAAATACAACAAAAATTAAAAAATGGAAAGTAATGAGAATAACCTTTATTTTTGATTTTATTTTTTCTCTATTTTCTTTATAAATCTGATTATTTTCTTCATTAATTAATAATTCATTACATAGTTCTTATGTTTATTAGATTTAATAACATTATATTTGTTAGTTTAAAAATTATTCTATTTTATAGTTTATAAATTATTAATATTTAAAATAAAAACTCATTCTTTTATAAATTATTAATATTTAAAATAAAAACTCATTCTTTTAATAATATTTTATTAGATTATTCAATATTAAATTCCTTAGATTTTTAGTTATAAATATTAGATTTTATATCTAAATTATCTAAAATAGTATACAAATTTTGAAATTTATGTAAATTTTGTTTCATATAAAATGCTTTTTCCTTTTATAAGGTTTTTACAATAAAATAATATAATAAATTAAATGTAAATTATATTTTTTTTTAGTAAACATCTTATTTTATTATATTAATATATAATTTATTTAATTTACAGTATAAAAGAGTTTTAAAAATTGCTTAAATCTGTATTGAAATATTTTGTATAAAACAACTTCAAAATATATAATAAAATAAAAAATTAATAAATTATTATAAGTTTAAAATCACCTGAATTAGATATTGATAATATAAATAATATATCTAATATTAAAACAGATAATAATACTAATTTTCTTAATAATATCTAAAAATAAATAAATTAATTAATTCTTAGTTTGATATATTAAATGAAGAAGATAGAAATAATAATAATAAGAAATTAGTAAATAACTTAAAAAATTATGAAAAAGATTCTAATATTTTATATTTATTACTTAATCATTATGTTAATCTTATAAATAGTAAAAAAGCAAATTAGAAATTATTTTCGTTGTTTAAATCTGTTTTATAATTTTCAAATAATTTTTAATAGTAAATAGTAATTAATATTTGATACTATTATCTTATAATACTAATAATTGAAAATTAATATTAACGTAAGATTAACAAAGGATTTAGTTTAATCGATACTTTAAAGAAAGCTCTGAAGGGTTTACAAATAATTATTATTTTAAATGATAATATATATTTAGAATAAATTTTAAGAATTTTATTATAGAATAAAGAATTCAATACAATTATATTTATTAGTATATAACTGTTATTAGTATTTATCTTGTTAGTGATAAAAACTACAGAAGCGGTTATAAGTATCTGACCCCTTATAATTCTTAAAGTTAATTAATAATACCTATTAAAATTTTCTAAAATTCAAGTATAATACCAATGTTGATCACATATAAAATTATAAGCTTATATAACATATAAATCAAAAATTAGATGATTGATGAATTTTGCATGTAAAGTACTGATATTTTTTAATAAATTAAACA